GTCTTTATATACAGTCAGTGATCATCTTTATATACAGTCAGTGATCGTCTTTATATACAGTCAGTGTCTTTATATACAGTCAGTGATCATCTTTATATACAGTCAGTGATCATCTTTATATACAGTTAAAAAAAAACTCACCTTTTTTAATTTCCTCTCTTGTCTGGATTTTACTGCCACCAATATTCGCTGGTTCTTCATCATCCTCCTCTTCTTCACCTCCATCAGACTCATCCTCTTTTTCAGACTCTTCCTCATCACCACTATTAGAGTCTTCTTCCTCCCCCTCATCACTGTATTCCTCCTCTTCCTCTCCTCTGTGGTTTCTCTGTTCTTCCTCAGTCCCTCCTCTTCCTCGTATGTCAGTGAGCAGAGTGAAGTTCTTCTCCTCATCAGTATTTTCATCATCGCTGCTCTTCATCGTCCTTGTCTGCTTCGAGACCTGCTGCTGCTGCTTCCTCTTCATCTTGTTTTTGTGTCTCAGCTGTGGAAAACAAATGATGCATCAATTCTGCAGCTGATTTATAGATTCATGTAAATTGCCCTTAAAATAAAGATGTTATTCTGCATACCAAGTAATGTTTGTTACATGAACATGTTTTAGTTAGTTGAAAACTTACTGTAAGAAGTTGGCTACATTAATATTAAGAGCAAGGTGTTAACTTATCTGTTTACCACTTGAATAAATATTACTGTGTTCACTTAGCTGCAGAGAAATGTTAAGTTAGCCCAACTTGTCTACATAGTGAGTTTCAACCATAGACTGTATATAAGGTTTCAACTATGTATTTTTTCAAATATAAGTACACGCCCAAATTTGCCCAGGCACGTTCCACTGCAGATGCCTCTATCACAAGAAGAGGAAGGAGGAAGAGAAACCGGAGCTTTAATATTTGAATATCATCAGGGTAAGTAACTATCTTTGTCTTATTCACAACTGCTCACTGCATCAGCACACAGTACGAGATATCATTGTTTGACGCAGCACTTCATTTAAATTACAAAGCTGATTTAGAAGCTCACATAGGCGTTCTGAGCTATAGCTAACATTAATGCTGTCACTGAACTTGTGTAGCGTTAGTTTTGCAACTGGTGGTGATGTTAAGCCATGATAATTCTGTTCTGTTTATATTTATACTGTTCATTCTGTTCATCCCGCCATGGCTGCCATATTTATACTCTTTATATCGTCACTGCCTGTTTATATCTATTAATGACTTATATTTTTTATATTTTATATTTCATATTTAATTCTGTTTGCACCGGGGATTAGAGGGAAACACCATTTCAATTCTCTGTATGTCCTGCACATATGGCATTATTGATAATAAAGTTGACTTGACTTGACTTGCTAACGTGGAGAGTAATCCAAAAAGCCAATGGAAAAATCCCGTTGGCTTTTTGAGATAGAACCAGGGTGATGCTAACATTCGCAAAGCCTACAAAAATATGTTATCCACTCTGTGGATGTGCAGTTGTAAAATATTTGTTCTTGTTCGCAGGATAATTCAGTAGAAAGAAGGAGAGAGGTCACTAATTATAAATTAAAATTAAACTATCCATTATCCTGTGGTTTTCTCAGAGAAAAGAAGGAGGACCTCTTCAACGAGCACTTGGTAAGAAACACTAATGTTCAAACAGTCCACTGTACTTTGTGTTGACCTACTTATGACAGGATGGTGAAGTGCAGGTTACCATTGATGAAGATTGTCGTCACCAGAGGTGCCATAATGTCTGACACAGCTAGTGCAAGGATTGTGATCGAGGCAACACGAGTCCTGGAAGACCTGAATGTACCAAGAGCCTGTGCCTTGCTAATGGGGCTGATATAAGCACTCTACCTCAACGATCCAAAAGAATCGATCAAAACATTTGAGGTATTTCAAAAATGATCCCTTTTATCCGGAAGAAAACTAATTCTGTGCCATGGTGATTAATTAGTACTGTGGAGTAAAGTAATGTAGTACTGTAGTACTTTGGAATACTGTGCCTGAAGGTGCTGAAGCTGGTAGTGATACCATTATGATGTTACCATGGCAACCAGATGAAGCGCTTCGTTTATTTCCTCCATTCAAACAGAAAGATGACTACCCCCCCCCCCGCCCAAACTGAAAATACGTCACGTCAGACACTGTGTACAAAGCAATCAGAGTCAAGTATAGATAGACTCCACCCACGTAGGTGCTGACAGGACGTACGTGTCAGACCAGATTCTTCAGTCCCTGAATCACAACTTGAAACTTAAACTAACAGATGAGATGAAACATGAAGCTTCAGACTCTCAGTGAGAAAACGTCCAGTCAGACTATTTGAAAAATAAAATCGTTTTAACTCGATTTTCTACAGAACAGAGCTGGGGCTCCGGGTTGGTTTGATGAACTGTTGCCATAAAGCTTCCCGCCACACGCGGCAGCACTGAGACCAGTAGAGCAGAGAAAGACTGCAGCTCTGTAAGAGAAGAAGATCGCAGCGCCATGTTTGATTCTCTTGATAGAAAAAGTTTGATAAAAGTTCACCTGCGGTCTAAGTCCTGTTTCAGTAAGTCTACTCATCGACGAGAAGCCGAACTGCTCTTGAGAAGTTCTTCTATCGTCTGACGGTTTGAGTTTGAGCTTCTGTCCGATAAACAGGTTTATTAACCACCTCCTCATCTTTGTTGTGGTTTTATCAATGTTCCACAATATTTACCGTGTCAATGTTTGACACTTCTCACAACGACAGACGCTCACATAGTTGTTCATCCACGTTATTCCTCTTCACTGCAGCGGCCTATCAACTCATTCATGTGAATATTCTTCATGCTACTCGTGGATTCTCTCGTGGCTGCAGCTAACAACATTAGCATCGGCGGAGGACCGGCTGGTGTTTCACCGACGTCGTTTATTCGAGACAAACTTTCTATCGCGGTAATCAATGAGCCGAATTAAAGAACAGATCTACATTAAGAGTTGAAGTGACATATTATAAAGTTGTTTCAACAATATGTCTTCGCTGTGAAACAAATCACTTTAAACGGACAGATTTTCGCATAGGTCTGACGTGACGTCCGCTCAGAGCCGAGGAGTCAAACTCATCGTAACCAGGTGTGCCTACGTCACAGGCCTGGTCACCAGCTGTTCGTATAAAGGGAGAAACATCTGTATTTACCTGATTTCACGATGCAGCTGTTCAACGTCCTGTTTGTACGGGGCCGTTACCCACGTGTCACTGCACTGACGTCACTAATCATATCCGGTTTCAAAATAAAAGTGTCAGTGATTTTGAATTGAAACAAAGGAGAAAACGTTTAAGTCACGTATTTATTATCTTTCTGTTATATTCCTACATACGGACACTTTTCTACACTGTTTAGATTTACTTGAAATCAACTGATAAATAAAAACTATTTGACCATGAGCCTGTGTGTTTTAGGGAAATTATCATTATCATTAAGTGTTTCATTCTTTAAAATAACATTTTTTAATAGACCATCATACATTCAATGGTCCGTATAGATGCATTTTAAAATAATTATCGCTCAATATACTAAATAAATGTCTCTTTGAAGAAAAGAACATATTTAAATACATAATGAGCTTCAATCTTAACACAATAAATCACTTTGGCTTCATTATAAACTTGAGGTTTGTGAACCACGATCATAAATCTGCATCTGCATGTAATCACCACTTCCCATGGAAACAAAATATGCTTTTATTGTGAAACATCACACAGGAAGTCCGCTAGTGACGTCACTGGGCTGATTTACAGCTCGTGAGGTGAACACGGGTCGTCAGACTCATCAGAGCTCCGCCCGCCGCTCCGTGTCTCCGGCTCACCCCACAACAACAAACAAACCAACCAACCTTCCTCTTCTTTCTCCGCAGGAGGATGGAGAGATAGAACAGCAACAGGTCCAGGAGGAGAAGGAGGTACATCAGAGGAAGAGGAGCAGGTACATCAGAGGAAGAGCAGGTACATCCGAGGAAGAGGAGGAGGAGAAGAGGAGGAGGAGCAGGTACATC